TGATTCAGTGCATTCTTCCCCAGTTTCATTCCCCGTTATTCCTGAGAACCCTCGGAGACTAAGTGGACTCTATAGGAGAACGCACATGATAAGGCAATTTGGAGGTTGGGGAGTAAGGATTGGTTTGTGGGATCAGTGATAATTGTGGACATAAAGAAGCTGCAGTGCTGACATACCTTTGGGTAGTACATCCTCCTACCCTGGTGCACTGTCTACCAGAGGCCTCCTGATGAGAGTTAACACAGCCTACCTGAAGGAATGGTGTCATGAAGGTGTGGTTGACCTTCCTAGGTCAGTCCTCCTGCTGTTTATGTGTTATTTGCTTATGGAACAGGAAACATGGTAATGGTGATGAGCATATTGACAAATGTATTTCCATGATTTGTGTTGTGAAATGTACCTGAGGTATGATGGAGTATTGCCTGTGAAGATGTAACAGTTGAGGTGAGTGAATGCCCTTGTTTTGGTAAATGATAGCTGATTTGTGATGTGGTTGTGGTAATGGTGGTAAAATTATTGAAAAGTTTTCAGTGAATTGGAGAGCTCACCTTGTCCACTTCGATAAAGTTGTTATATACCTTGTGGCACTTGGACCATTCCTGATTGTCATCTCCCATGTGTATGGCATTAATTGCTTCTGTGACCTCCTTTACCACAGTGAGTAGAGAACATCCTTGCTACTGTCTCCCTCTTTTAGTAGGACTGTGGGTGCCATTTTGGAGAATTTTGGTACCTCACCCTGGGTCCCTGAAGCTACATGACGATTGCTGCACACTGTCACCGTTTTTCCAGTGGACCCCCATTGCTTTCTCTCCCTCCCACTCCTCTCTTTTCTCTACCCCATCCTCATCCCTCTGGATCCTTTCTTGATTCTCCTTCTTTCTCTCAGCCTCTTTCTTCCACGTCTTTATCACATATCTTATCCAACTCTGTAACCCTCCTGGCACTTCCTCCCTACCATCCCTCTGGCTTCTTTCTGCCTGGACTTTACTAGTCTGACTGTCCCAATCCCAATCCTATGCTCACACTTTCTCTTTCCTCACCCTCCTTCCTGGCCACAAACTCACCAATGTGCTTTACAAGGCCCTATGTTTTCGCTTCCTGTGCTTTCTGACACATCTTCACCTGCAGAGCCCACTTAATCTTAACTGCCTCTCTGCAATGCTTTGGAGGATCAATAGTAAATAAATTCTGTTGCAATCAGCAACACAATATAATGGATATTTTTAGCTGAGCTCACTTGTGACTTATGTCACCTGTGAATTATCTGATCAGTTTGTTTTGTTGAGATAAATAATTTGTTGTGCCACTTTGATGTCCATGACATATACTATCCGTGTTTCCTGTCTACTTCTGTGTTGATTGGGTAAAGGTTGTTCCATCCCAGTGAAGTAATTTGAAGATTGTAACACTGAATGGATTAAATAAATATGCGAGTAAAATTATGGTTCATAATTAAGCTGTCTCATACAAACAGGAAACTTTTTGTGAAAGCTTAAATATATTTTAAATGTAAAGATGTCATTCAATATCTTTCACTGTTTCCTGCTTATTGTTTAAGGAGAACCATTTAAAAGAGTTTTATTAAACACAGGACTTAAGCTATATGCGCAGTGAAATTTTCACATCCAGCTATTTAAATGTAAATTATCTGCACATTGCAAATGTCTTTGCTCCATAAAGGGTCTGAATCTACCCTCAGCTGTTTGTGGGGATGACTTTATTTAGAGTCATAGAGATGTATAGCATGGAAACAGACCCTTTGGTGCAACTCATCCATGCTGACCAGATATCCTACATTAATCGAGTTTCATTTGCCAGCATTTGGCCCATTATCCCTTTAAACTCTTCCTATTCATATACCCGTCCAGATGCCTTTTAAATGTTGTAATTGTACCAGCCTCCACCACTTCCTCTGGCAGCTCATTCCATATTCGCACCACCCTCTGCGTGAAAAAGTTGCCCCTCAGGTCCCTTTTAAATCTTACCCCTCTCACCTTAAACCTATGCCCTGTAGTTTTGGACTTTGCTACCCTAGGGAAAAGACCATGCCTATTCACCCTATCAATGCCCCTTATGACTTTATAAACCTCTATGAGGTCACCCCTCAGCTTCTGATACTCCAGGGAAAATAGCCCCAGCCTTTCAGCCTCTCCTTCTAGCTCAAACTCTCCAACCCTGGCAACTTTCATGTAAATCTTTTCTGAGCCCTTTCAAGCTTCACAACATCCTTCCTATAGCAGGGAGACCGGAATTGCACAGAGTATTCCAAAAGTGGCCTAACCAATGTTACCTGTAGTTGGCAGACATTCTTATCTGCAAATCAGACATTTGGCTATTTACTACTCACAGATGGTATATGACAGCTCAGGTATGTTATTTTGACTGGATGTTATTTCCACAAGTGAAGCTGATGGTATGACTAATAAGCAGCAAAAGTGGAATATGTCCAGCTCCTCATGTGGAGATATTTATCATACCTCACTTCTGCTGCTGATCTAATTACATCACATACATCAAGTTATAAATTGTTAAATACTTTGCTCAAGGACAGGAAAATCAATTCCACATATATCGGAATGAAGTTGTACTGTAAAAGTATAAATTATGCACGAGTTTTGTAATGGAAGTGGTGAAGAATACAAATTTTTATTCCACTGAGAATATGGGGCTCAATTTTACTCCCAATATCCTGCCTAAAAACTAGGGAAAGTTTAGAGAAAATTGGATGATGAAAGCTACTGGTCAGACTTCTATTTCCCTCTCCCTGACTTCTCCAGGATTCCCACCCCATCCCTGCTTATTATTTGCATAATCTCTGGGCTAGATACAGCATTTGTCCCTCTTATCCCATTACCTGAGACTGTGATCCCTGGTTCTGGACTCCCCATAGTTGGGAACATCTTTCCTATGCTTACCCTATCTACGTCTGTTACAATTTTAAAGGTTTCTGCGAGATCCCCTCTTATTCTTCTAAACGCCAGTGAATATAGTGCCAGTCAGTCTAGAGTCTCTTGATACGTCTGCCCTGCCATCCCAGGAATCAATTTGGTAAACCTTTGTTGTACTCCCTCCATAGCCAAAGCATTCCAATTTAGATAGGAGACCAAAATTGCACACAGTACTCCAGGTGTGGTCTCAGCAAGGACCTGTACAATTGCAGCAAGATATCACTGATCCTGCACTCAACTCCTCTCACTATGAAGGCCAACAGACCTTCTTCCTCAACTGCTGCACTGCATGCTTACTTTAACCGATCGGTGTACCTGGGTTTTATTTGCATCGATGTTCAAACAGAGTCAGTATAGCTTCGTGAAAGGAAAATCATGCCTGACGAATACACTAGAATTCTTTGAGTAGGTAACAAGCAGGATAAAGTGGAAAAAGTATTACGTTTGGATTTTCAGAAGGAGTTTCATAAGGTACCACACAGAAAGTTACTTAATAAGACCTCAGATGTTGGAGATGGTATGTTAGCATAGATAAAAGATTGGCTAACGAATAGAGGATAGAAAGTTTGAATAAGGTGACCATCTTCAGGATTGTAACCTGTAACCCCTGGAGTTGCACAGGGGTTAGTGCTGGGACAATTATTTGCGATATATATTGAGTTGGATGAGGAAAATGAATGTACTGTAACCAAGTTTACAAATGACACAAAAATAGGTTCAAAGGTAATTGGTGAGGATGAGATAAAGAGTCTGCAGAGGGATACAGACAGGTTACACAAATGGGTGAAAACTTGACAGATGGAATATAATGTGGGAAAATGAGGTTATGCACTTTGGCAGAAAGAAATAAGAGCTGGATATTATTTAAACGGAGAAAGACTGTTGAAAGCTCCAGAACAGAGTGAGTTGGAATCATAGGATCATAGAATCCTGCATACAGAAAGAGGCCATTCAGCCTATCGAGTCTGAGCCAACCCTCCAAAAAGCATCCCCCTCATCCCTATAAACCCGCATTTATCATGGCTAATCCACCTCGCCTACATATTCTTGGACAGTATGGGGCAATTTAACATGACCATTCCATCTAATCTACACATCTTTGGACTCAAGGATTTGGGAATCCTCCACCATGAATCACAAAAACCTAACGTCCAAGTTCAGTAGGGGTTATACAGAAGGCAAACTGAATGTTGGCTTTTATTTCAAAAGGAATAAGATATAAAAGTAGGGAGCTTTTGCTAAAACTATCCTAGGCACGAGTCAGACCACAGCTGGAATACTGTGAATAGTTTTAGATATGTTATCTACAGAAAGATATGTTTGCATTGAAGGTAGACCAGGCAAGGTTCACTGCACTAATTCCAGCTATGGAGGGACTTTCCTATGAGGAGAGGTTGAGTAGGTTGGGTCTGTACTTGATGGAATTCAGAAGAATGAGAGGCGACCTTCTTGAAACTTAGGCGATTCTTAGGGGACTTGACGGGAGATGTGGAAAGGTTATGGGAGCATCTAAAGGCAGAGGGGACAATGTTGCACTTTTAAGACAGAGATGGGGAGGAATTTGTTCCTTCAGAGGGTTGTGAAGTGGGAATTCACAGAGGGCTTTCAAGACTGGCTCATTTAGTATATTCAAGGCTGAGATAAATTTTGATTAGAAAGAGAATCAAGGGTTATGGGGCAAAGGCCAGAAAGTGGAATTGAGACTTATCAGATCAGCCATGATCTCGTTGAATGGCAGAGAAGATTCACTGGGCTGAATGGTCTACATCTGCTGTGACGTCTTATTGTCTCACACACAATCTCATCCGTTATGCTTATGTTGGATTTATTTAGTCATTGTCATTAATTATTTGAAGAAATCTTGACTGATGAGTATCCCAGTCTCTTAGTTGATGACAGACTGCTTAATTTTGCCTGTTAAAATACCATAATACTTCTAAGGCTATTGGTTTTAAAATGTTTTTACAAAAGAAAGTGAGGTAATACCTTTGACCAGCTGTTATTTCCACTGTGCCTTATGTTTAGCTTCTTTATGCTTCTCCCTTCCAGACTATGGAACTATTAAGAAAGTTCTTGCCCCTGTGAATCAAAGTGGGAGTGGTTGTTTGTTGGAGGAAATAGAACTCTTTCCAATCAATCAAAGAGAGCGTGTGAGGAACCTTCAAATCCTACACAGTCAGAGTGTTCTGTTTGTTGGACTACAGGAACATGTGATAAGACTCCCACTGAAACGCTGCAGTTTTTACAGAAGTCAGAGGTAAGATTGTTGAATGTTAGAGTACGAAGAAGGTTTTAATTGTATTGTGACAGAATTGTATTCTCGTTATCTGACTAATGACAAATTATACTTGGAGTAGTATGTTCTCTTTTGCAGGGAGTATTTTGTTGAGCGAGATTCATGGCACCCAGTCCACAATAAGAACATAAGAACGAGGAGCAGGAGTAGGCCGTCTGGCCGTTTGAGCCTGCTCCGCCATTCAATAAGATCATGGCTGATCCTTTCGTGGACTCAGATCCACTTACCCGCGTTCTCACCGTATCCCTTAATTCCTTTATTGTTCAAAAAAAATCTACCTTTTTTTTAAAAAACATTTACTGAAGTAGTGTCAACTACTTCACTGGGCAAGGAATTCCATAGATTAACAACCCTCTGGGTGAAGAAATTCCTTCTCAGTTCAGTCCTAAATCTGCTCCCTCTAATCTTGAGGCTATGCCCTCTTGTCCTATGGCTCGGAGTGACTTTTCTCATGAGCTGCTCTGTACCTCATTAATGCTGTAGCTGCATCTTGGGAACTGTGAGACAGGAGAGGTGGAAATGTCACTCACTGCACACCACTGCAAGCAAGGAATTGTGCTTCCTACTATGGTGTTTGACCATTATAGCATAGACCAAAGAAAGGCTCATGGCCCACTTTTTGGGGACAGAATTCCAGAGGTGCCGGTGGATGGAGTAGTAAAGAAGAAGACCATCCTTTTTCCTGTGGGAGTGCACAGGAGGCCATGCCATTAGATCAAACCAGTCTGCACCCAGTATCCCATGAATTAACGAAAAAAGTCAGTGCTGAAGTCAGTGAGTGTGCGCTAAGAAAACAATGGAAAGTAGAAAGAGGCAGACCATCTCCAAGTACGCAAAGAGAGTGAGCACAATGAAAGCATTCTCAGAGCCTTAGATGCATCCTCTGTAAATGTACAGGAATCTGCAAGTCTCTGTATGCAAAGCTCCCTTCCCCCAAAACCTGCTAAGCCTGGCTCTTTATGTTTCCCTGAACAATTTGGTTGATACCCCTCGGATATAATGTTAAAGTTCTCAGCAGTTTATCCAGATCACTCCAAAAATGAAAGTACAGCAAATAGTGCACATCAATGATGGAAAAATAAATCACTCACAGAAAACCTATACCATTCTATTACAGTAGAAAGGGGAAAAGGAAGGTCTTTGTGAGCATTGCATAAATCATGGTCAGAGATGCTGGCAGTTTGCAATCACATAGTGTTAAGTAGTGCACTTGCAGTTGTTACACAGTGGTATATTAAAGGGTCTGCAAGAAGTGAATTTATCTTATTTTTTTGTTGTCTGGAGTGGATCAATGCTGACAGCCACTGTTTGCTTTTGTTTGCTTAGGGGGTTGTGGATATGGAGTGGAGACCATTAAAACCAGGGAGTGATGATTCCAATTTCTCTATTTTCAATTTTTCTCAGCTATTTGGAAGCTGAGGGCAGGAACCACTCAATACCACACTTTGACTGAGCCAGCACACAGAGGTGCTTAATGATATAGTGACAAGTCATTGGCTTTTCATCTCATTTCGCCCATCTAGCCAGTTTCTTATCAAAGCAGCCCTGTAGGTTTTTATTTGCAGTCCACATTTTTGTCTTTTCTATGTCAGACAATCCGTCGCAGTTAAACCTCATTTGGATTAGTGTTTTCAAAGCAAGGATCACAAAGGCTATGTCTGGGCTGCACTGACACAGTTTATCAGCAGAAATGTTAAGACTATAGATTGTGTGAAAGAATAGTGAAAAACAAACTTTACACAGGTTAAAATTCCAATGGCAGTGTTTCATATGTTGTGGAGAGTAGCCATAATACTCCAGAGTATTACCTCACTTATGAATTATGTCGTAAATTTTTAAAATAAAAATTTACCAATACAAGATAATTGTGTATTACTGCACCTTGATATAATCTTCGATAATACTATAGTTTGGGTTTAGAGTTTCCTAGCTTTTATTCCATTGAAACTTTATCACTTTTATTGCAGAATGCATTTTGTTTTTGTCCTGGTACAGGCTTTAATTAAATCAATGAAAAAACAAACTTGTTTTATACCAGTGAGAGTTGAATCCATTGTACTCGTTAAACTGATGGTGATTGCTTGCTGACTCTGTATGTATGAAATGGCTGTTGCTGTAAATATGCAGTGTTGATCATAGACCATTAATTAATTCCATCATATTAACGTTAATGCTTGTGCTATTAAAAAGCACAAGAAAGTAAATGACTCTGCCCGATTCTGGGATAATTCTGGCAGCAGCAGCATCATCTGGATCTGGTGGATTACCGTCTCCTTCACTGAGAAAACAATGAACCCTTATCTGTGGACGAGGGAACAGTGGAGGGGTGTGTGTTTAGCCTCCTGCTTACTGGTCTGTATTTGTCCAGGGGATGGAGTAATATTTGGGAGTGTTCTCACATTGGAATTCTGAAAAGTGGGTTTTCCATAAGCCAATCGGGACTTTCCTCTGCACAGACACGGTAGAAGTTAAAGGTCTGGCACACTTGGATCAGACGTTTTTACCAACCATTCTTGAAGATAAAGGAAATGATTTCCCTGCTCCAGGATCTTTGACTTGACAGGCTCACGGTTACCCTCATGGCTAGGTAATGCTCCAGTACGCCAGCTGGTGCGGTGCGAGTTTCTCTGTTGTACCTTTACAGGTTTAGTGTTCACTTTTATTATTTGAATGATACTGGCTCTGGGATATAGCCAGGGTCATGGTAGGTGAAAGAAATGAATTTGAACCTCTGCTTCTATACATGTCCAGTGTACAAAGAGGCCATGGAATCTGCACCTCAAAGTGTTAATTTTGTAGGTTCTCAAAGCTACAATTCCATTCAAGTTTAACTTTGTATCATATTAAATCTTATCAGTGTCACCCCATTCCTCATGTGCACACATCCATTGACCTATCATTGGCCATTGACATTTATGTAATGATTTAATCTGGACATTCTCCTTTCACTGAGAAGCGTTCTAAAATATTCTGACTGGGTTTTTGTTAATTCACCCCAGGTGGCTCAAGGAGGAATTGCTAACTGCCATTGAAAACCACAAGACCATATGAAATGGGAACAGGACCAAGCTGTTGGGCCCCTCAAGCCTGCTCCGCCATTCAATAGGATCATGGCTCATCCAACATTCCTCATGCCCTTTCCCCATAATCCTTCATTCCCCTTCTGATCAAGATCTATCTCAGCCTTAAAAATGCACAAGGACTCTGCCCGCACAGTTCTTTGTGGCAACAAGTTCCAAAGACACTCAACCCTCTGGGAGAAGAAATTCATCCTTATCTTAGTCTTAAATTAGTGCCCCTTTATTCTGAGACAATGCCGTCTGGTCCTAGAATCCTCTATGAGGGGAAACATCCCCTCACCATTAACCCTGTCAAGCCCCTTAAGAACTCTGTATGTTTCAACGAGAACATCTCCCATTCTTCTAAAATTTCTTCTAAAATCCAGTGAATGGAGTCCCAATCTGTTTAACTTTTGCTCCTAAGACAATTCGCCCATACCAGAGATCGTCCTTGTGAACCTTCTCTGAGCTGCCTCTGATGAAATGGTATCTTTCCTTAAACAAGGGGACCAAAACTGCTCACGGTACTCCAGATGTGGTCTCACCAGTACTTTGTACAATTCCAGAAAGATCTTCCGACTCTCATACTCCAAACCCTTTGAAATAAGGGATCACATTCCATTGGCTTTCCAGATTACTTGCTGCATTTGTGTGCTAACATTTGTGTACAAGTACCCCTAAGTTCCTTTGTGTTGCAGCTTTCTGCAGTTTTTCTCCATTTAAATATATTTTGTTCTTCTGTGCTCCCTTCCAAAATGAACAACTTCAGATTTTCCCAAATTGTACTTCATTTGCCAAATTTTTGCCCACTTAACCTAGCCATCTATCTAGTTTCCTCTCTCAAGTTTCATTCGCTGTGCAGCAGTCTGGGCTCCTGGCTGATTGAGGTCACAAGAAGGCACAATCAGTGTGTAACTGTTGGGATTAGGATCCCAGAGATATGCTGGATCAATTTGTTTTCTTACATAAACCATTATCAAAAATAAACAGATAGAATAAATGTTTGCAGTGTGTACTTCTCTTGTTGACTCCAAGTGTAAAACCAAATGAAGCTTATAGATTTTCATGGACTGCTTTAGTCTCAAATTTCTGTCCTTATAGCTTCCCAAAAAAATACAGAGGACAGAATTTATTTCTAGTTGACCTAAATGCAGATATGCATACATGGATAATAAACGTTGCAAAATATACTATGATCTAATGATGTACAGTTGTAAGAGTGGGTTAAAGTGAGATTTAAAGTTTAACCTTATTATCCTTTGCCTACAGTTCATGTGTGGGAGCTCGAGACCCTTACTGTGGTTGGGACTTGGTCTTAAAGAAATGCACAACATTAGAAGAAAGCATGAGTATGACCCAGTGGGAGCAAGAAATCAATTTGTGCCCAGTGAGTATGTTCATTCTCAAAATTCCCACATTCTTTTAAAACATCAGAGTATTGAATTGGGTGATATATACAATTGCTTACATATTGCTGATTCTTTATTGTTCTTTAGTTCTTCACTAAAGATTTATATCAATCATTAATGTGTAGAACTATTTTAAGTTTTATAATGCACTGTAACCACTGTTACAATGAGGTGAGAGAATCGTCTGCCTTCTTTCTAAGCCCCTTGGTCAGTCACAACATATGTTTTGTTTCTTTTCAGCACCACAGCTATCACACTTTAAATAAAACGCAGTTTGCTGCAAATGAAGGCTCCAATTACCAAGGCTTTCTTCAATGATTGGAAGAAAAATATAATAAAAATGCAGCATCAAACAGGCACGCAAAGCACAGTGATAAGTTTTGAAGCGAAGAAGAATCATGAGAAAAAGACTGGCAGCTAACATAACAGAAAATCAGAAAGGCTTGTGTAAGCACATCAATAGTAAAAGTGTTCTAAACAGTGCCACAAAACAGACATGTGAGGTGATGTACTTTGATGCAAAAAAACATGGAGAGACAGTTGAGAATACTGCCCTTGTTTAAAAGGGTGCGCAGGAGCAGAGAAACATGGGTGTAAGTACACAAGTCATTAAAGGTGGCATGAGAGATATTAAGAGATATTAATGAGACATAGAGTATTCTGGACTCCACAAGTTGGGACATATAGTACAAGAGCAGGGAGCTTATAATTAATTTATTATATAAGACTTGGGTTTGATTTTGATTTTTGATTTATTGTAGTCACATGTACCTAAGTACAGTGAAAAGCTTTGTTTTGCAAACAGTACAGACAGATCATAACAAACAAGGACATACAGATCATAGGGTGCTTAGCCAGAGTGAGGCATACAGGTTACATTGCACAGGAGGTACACAAAGCGAGATCAACAGTAACAAGATCAACATTATTTGAAGTTAGAGAGTCCATTCATCAGTCTAATAACAGCAGAGAAGAAGCTGTGCTTGAGCCTATTAGTGCGTGTGTTCAGGCTTCTGTATCTTTTACCTGACGGAAGAGGTTGTAGGAGATCATTACCGGGGTGTGATGTGTCTTCGATGATGTTGGCAGCCTTTCTGTGGCAGTGAGCCATATAAATGGAGTCCATGGACGGAAGGTTGGCATCCATGATGGTCTGGGCTGTGCACACCACCTTCTGTAGTTTCTTATGGTTCTGGGCAGAGCAGTTGCCGTACCAGGCCGTTATGTACCCGGACAGTATGTTTTCAATGGTGCATCTGTAGAAGTTGGAGAGGGTTGTTATAGACATGCCGAATTTCCTAAGCTGCCTGAGGAGGAAGAGGCAATGTTGTGCCTTCTTGATTATTGCATCTACCTGGGAGGTCGAGGACAGGTTGACAGTTATCGTCACTCCAGGGAACTTGACCTTCTTCACCTTAGTTCTGTTGATATAGATGGGGGTGTGTCCTTCTCCTGTCTTCCGGAAGGAAATGATCAGTTCTTTTGCTGACATTGAGACAGAGGCTGTTATCGTTGCACCACAACACCAAGCCCTGTATCTCCTTTCTGTATTCAGGCTCATCATTGTTTGATATCCATCCTATACAGTGGTATCGTCAGCAAATTTGTAGATGGTGTTCATTCGGAATTTGGCAACACTGTCGTAGGTGTAAAGGGAGTACAGTAGGGGGCTGAAAACGCATCCTTTTTGGTCTTCAGTTTTGAGTGTTATTGTGTAGAAGGTGCAGTTGTCTGTCTTCACTGATTGCGGTCTATGGTACAAGAAGCTGAGGATCCAGTTGTAGAGGGCAGAGCTGAGACCTAGGTCTGGGAGTTTTGAGATTAGTGCTTATGGTGTTGAAGGCAGAACTGTAGTCGCTAAGTAGGAGTCTGATGTCGGTGTCTTTGATGTCCAGATGTTCCAGCGATGAGTGTAGGTCCAGGGCGTTGGCTTCCGTTGTGGACCTGTTTTGTCGGTAGGCAAGTTGCAGGGGATCGAGACGGGCTGGGAGACTGGAGTTGATGTGGGCCATGACCAGCCTCTTGAAGCACTTCATGATTATTGAGGTCAGAGCCACTGGGTGGTAGTCACTAAGGCACATTGCATGTGCTTGCTTATGAAGCAGGTGGTGACTTCAGCCTGTAGGAGGGAGAGGTTGAAGATGTCAGTGAGTACCTCCACCAGCTGGTCCATACAGGATCTAAGTGCATGGCTGGGGACTCCATCTGAGCCCGTTGCTTTCCTTGGGCTGACTCTCCGGAAGACGATCTGATGTTTGCAGCGGTGACAGAGGGAACAGGTGTGTCTGGGGCAGGTGACATGGCACTGCTGGCATTCTGCTCAAACTGACCATAGAAAGCATTGAGCGCATCAGAGAGGGATGTGTTCTTATCCACTATCTTATTCTGCTTCGTTTTGTATCCTGTAATATTGTGTAGGCCTTCCCACAGGTGCGGGTGTCCATATGGTTGGTTTGGCCCTCTGACTTGATTCACTATTGCCTCTTGGCATCTCTGATGCTTTGTGGAGGTCATATCTGGATTTTCCGTGTAGTTTTTTTAATTCATTCATGGGATGTCGGCATCGCTGGCTGGACCAGCATTTATTGCCCTTCCCTAATTGCCCAGAGGGCAGTTGAGAGTCAACCACATTGCTGTAGGTCTAGAGTCACATGAACCAGATGGGTTTTTCCTGACAATCAGTAATGGTTTCATGGTCATCATTAGATTCTTAATTCCACCATCTGCCTTGGTGGGATTCGAAATCAGGTCCCCAGAACATTACCTAGGTCTCTGGATAAATAGTCTAGCGATAATACCACTAGGCCATCGTCTACCGTGGCGCCTACCATCGCCGATCTGGGGAGGTTGCATGCCTGACCTTCAGTAGGTGGTGGATTTCCCGGTTCACCCAAGGTTTCTGGTTGGGGAACACCTGGATTGATTTCTTTGGCATGCAGTCCTCCACGCACTTGCTAACAGAGTCTGTGACGGTGGTGGCGTACTTGTCTAGGTTGTCCGCTGATTTCTTGAATAAGGTCCAATCTGCTGATTCCAAGCAGTCTCTGAGAAGCTCTTCCACTGCCTCAGATGAGCATTGTACTATGTTCTGTGAAGGATCCTCCCATTTCAGCTTGTAAGCTGGGAAGAGAAACGCAGCGTTGTGATCTGGTTTTCCGAAGTGTGGACAGGCCATGGAGCAGTAGGTATCTTTGATGGTTGTGTAGCAATGGCCCAGGATGTTCAATGCCCTGGTGGGGTAGGAGATGTGTTGGTGATGTTTTGGCAGCGTCCTCTTGTGGTTGGCCTGGATGAAGTTGCTGGCCATGGTGAATAAGGCGTTGGGGAATCTTCTCTCCAGATGGTTTGTGGCGGTGTAAATTTCATCCAGGGCATTCTTCACATCCGTACGGATAGTATGTAGACTGCTGTCAGGATGGTGGAGGTGAACTTGCGTGGCAGATAGTAAGGACAGCATTTCACTGTAAGGTATTCTATGTCTGGGTAGCAGTGGTTCACCAGGGTTGCTGTGTCTGAGCACCAGGAGCTGTTGATTAGGAAGTATACCCCTCGGCCCTTTGCCTTACCCATGGACTCTGTGTGGTCCATGCGATATATGGAGAACCCGTCAGCTTGGAAGGCACAGTCAGGTATAGCAGGGGTGAGCCATGTCTCGGTAAAGCAGAGCACACAGTAGTCTGTCAGTTGCCTCTGGAAGGGAAGTCCTGGTTAGACTTTTGCTGGAATATCGTAGACAGTTCTGGGCACTACACTATAGGATGGATGTGAATGGATTGGAGAGAGTGCAAAAGAGATTTATAGAACATAGAACATAGAACTGTACAGCACAGTACAGGCCCTTCGGCCCACAATGTTGTGCTGAATGTTTACCCTAAACCTAAGGTCTATCAAACCTCCACCCCTACCTTATACTATCATCCATATACCTATCTAACAGCCGCTTAAATGCCCCTAATGAGGCTGACTCCACTACCCTCTCCAGCAATGCATTCCACAAATTATGATAATAATTATGATAATTTATGATAATAGTTTCAGGGTGAGACACTTCAGGTATGAGGAAAGATTGGAGAAGACCATAAGAACATAGGAGCATCATTAGGCCATTTGGCCCATCACATCTGCGAACCAATTTGGTCATGGCTAATAAGTTTCTCAAACCCATTCTCCTGCCTTCTCCCCATAACCCTTGATCCCCTTAGTAATTGAGAACCTACGTATCTCTGTCCTAAAGACACTCAATGAGTTGGTTCAAAAGCCTTTTGTGGCCATGAGTTACACAGATTCACTGCTCTCTGGCTGAAGAAATTCCTGCTCATCTCTGTTCCAAAGGGTTTTCCTTCACTTTGAGGCTGTGCTTTTGTGTCCCATTCTCTCCTACTAATGGAAACATCTTCTCCATGTCCACTCTATTCAGGCCTCGCAGTATTCTGTAAGTTTCAATGAAATTCCCCCTTATCTTTCTAAACTTCGTTGATTACAGACCCAGAGTCAACTGCTTCTCATATGACTAACCCTTCATTCCTGGGATCATTCTTGTAGAACACCTATGGACCCCCTCCAAGGCCAGCACATCCTTCCTTAGATATGACACCCAAAACTGCTCAAATATTCCAAATGCAGACTGACCAAAGCCTTACACAGCCTCAGCAGTACATCCCTGCTCATGTATTCTAGCCCTCTTGAAATGAATGCTAACGTTGCATTTGCCTTCCTAACTGCCACTGAACCTGCAAGTTAACCTTAAGAGAATGATGGACCAGGACTCCTATTGTGCTTCAGATTTCCGAAGTCTTTCCCTGTTTAGAAAATAGGCTACACCTCTGTTTTTCCTACCAAAGTACATAACCTCACACTTTTCCATTTTGTGTTACAAATGCCACTTCTCTGCCCACTCTCCTAATCTGTTCAAGCACTTCTGCAGCCTTCCTGCTTCCTCGACATGACCTGTCCCTCCACCTATCTTTGTGTCATCTGC